TGAGGCAAGTAGCGCCACTTGTCTATTAATTATAGTAGGGTGTTTAATAGAACTTGTGTAATGGCTGCTTGAGAATGCCGACAACAAAACATGAGCAAGGACAAAGTGGTGCAATATTCGCAAAAAGTTACGAAGAAAGGCCAATGAAAAGAAGGTTTGGGAAGACAACGTTTGCCAAGCGAGCTTTGGTGCGAACGTTTGGAACACTTAGATTAAAGACAAAGGTTTAGACTTGCGAGGAGACTTGATAAGAATTTTCTTGATGGGATTGAATTTTGGCAGCAAGAGATTTGAGACCATGAGTCACAAGAAAGTTCGAAAAAGAAGACGAGATGACCTTGAAGAGTTGCTTGATGGTAAATTGATTAAGGTATATTAAGGTCGTTTTAATTATTTAGAGCTAGCTGAATGTAAGCCAGGAAAGCTTGCTTCAAGAATGTGGCAAAGATTGGCAAAGTAAATGGGTCGTGAAATGGTGGTTTTGTTTCGTTGTTGTAGCTTGGTGTACTTGTGCTTCCTTCGTTTTGTGTTGTGCTGGGTGGTGAACAAAGGTTGACAAAGCGAACTGAAGGAACTTGGCATGAAGATGGGATCAAAGTTTCAAGACTTTCTGCATGATGAGGATGCAGGAGGGTTAAAACAATTTTGTATGAAGAGGGGTTCCAAAAACTCTTGTCAAGGAAGGCTTATTGATTTGTTCCGCGGTTTTTTTGGTGCAAAAATGTTCGAAACAAGTTTGGGATGCGAGCTTTAAGTTCGTTCAACGAAAGGTGAAGACGAGTTTAATATGTTTGGTGTGAAGACTAACAGCAAAAGAGTTTTCCAACTGACCACTTTTCTGCAGCCTAAAAAATGTCAAATTGACAAGCTCTCCTCTTCACCCCACGGTTTTTGAATTACATTACATCCCTCTCAAGACCTTTGCATTACAGTCTTTTCGAAACCAATCTCAACAGAAATGAGTATTGAACCTATCCTCATGCCAAGTTCCTTTAAACCTTCAAGCCCATGTCGCGCTACATCTGATTGAAACTGTTTTACATTCAACGACCATCGAAGCAATCGCACAAGTAGTTCGATTCTCCTTGTCGCACAGCCTGTTGAAATCTTGAAACTTTGAGCCCATCTTCATGCCAGACAGCTTAACAAGAGAAGTGGGGTGACATACTTAAAATTGTGTGCTGGGTGGGTGCGTCTGGGTTGTGTATATTAAAGGGCTTATATAATTACGATAATTAATGTGACTACGCCTGCCGCGAGGGGAGGGCTCGCAGTCCGCATAAGTGGACCAACCACCTTTAACTACCTGCCCACAAGCAACAGCAACAGCAAACAAGCATCCGTGCCCAAGGAGACATCACGCGCAGAGGGTGGCTGGGTTGTTGGCTGTCAGGGCAGTGCCTCAAGGGTTTCTACCGGAGCGGTTCTCCGTACACACGACAAGCGTAGTCCACCATTTAGCTGTCCGCGATGGCGATTGACCTGCCGGATTCCTTGTGTCTCCGGCCTCGCCAGGAACCACGCGGCAGCTACCTAAAACCCCCCGCCATTGAAGCTGGAGGGGGGTGGGTGCGCCGGGGGGGTGCCTTCAGTCGTGCGAGTGGACCAATCTGGGTTGCCTGGCCTAGACCTGCAGTGGGTGGGCTTCAGCCATCTAATGACGCGCTGGTCACCCTGGCTCCGGCCAGCGGCCTTGGGCACACACAACAACACAACCACCAACAGCAACAACAACAACAACAGCTACCACTACCACTACTAGTACTACTGCTAGCCGGGGTGCGCTTGTGCTTGGGCGTGTTTTTTCTTCGCGTTCTTGCGCGCTTGCTTCTTTGCTCTGCGTCGCCTTGCCTTGCTTTTGGCTTTCTTTGCTTTGCTTTGTGCTGAAGGCTTGCTTGCTTTCTTTGCTTTGCTTTGCTTTGCTCTGCTCTGCTCTGCTCTGCCCTGCTCTGCTCTGCTTTGCTTTGCTTTGTTGTTTTGTGGTGCTTTGCTTTGTTGTTTGTTTGTTTGTTTGGCTGGTTGGCTTGTTTTGTTTTGTTGTGTTTTGTATTGTCTTGTCTTGTACTGGTTTGTTTTGGCTTGGGTTGTTTGTTTGCTTGCTTGCTTGGGTTGTTTGTTTGTTTGCTGTTTGGCTTTGTTTTGCTTGGCTTTGTACTGTGTTGTTTGTTTTGTTTGGCTTGGCTTGGCTTGGCCTTGTTTTTGTTTGTTGGCTTTGTTTTTTTTGTTGGTTTGTTCTTTTTGGTTGGTGTGGTTTTTGTTGGTTGGTTTGGTTTTTGTTTGTTGGTTTGGTTTTTGTTTGTTGGTTTGGCTTTTGTTTGTTTGTTTGTTTGCTTGTTTGTTTGTTGTTTGTTTGTTGTGTTGGTTTTTGTTTGTTTGTTTGTTTGTTGTTTGGCTTGTTTGGCGTGTTTGGTTTGATTGTTTTGTTGGTATTGTTTGCCTTGTTTTGTTTTTTTGTTTTGTTTTTTTGTTTTGTTTTTTTGTTTTGTTTGTTTGTCTGTTTGTTTGTCTGTTTGTTTGTTTGTTTGTTTGGTTTGTTTGGCGTGTTTGGTTTGATTGTTTTGTTGGTTTTGTTTGCCTTGTTTGTTTTGTTTTTGATGTTGTTTTGGTTTTTGTTTTGTTTTGTTGGTTTGTTTGTGTGTTTTGTGTTGTTTTGTTTTGTTCATTGCTTGTTGGTTTGTTTTGTTGGTTTCGTTGGTTTATTTGTTTGTTTGTTGGTGTTTGTTTCCTTGCTTTGTTTTGTTGCGTTGGTCGGTTGATTGGTTGGTTGGTTGGTTACTTGGTTCGGTCCGTTCGGCTGGTTGGTTAGTTGGTTCTCTTTCTTTTCTCTGGGGTATATTTGTTCGCGGTGTATGGTGTTAGGGTTTTGTTCGCGGTGTATGTGGTGTTAGGGGTTTGTTCGCGGTGTATGTGGTGTTAGGGTTTTGTTCGCGGTGTATGT